AACAGTCTCGCTCCAGATTATTAGCAGCACGGTTCCATGAAAATACAACTTTAAGCGTACAATATTCCGATTCCCACAGTGCACCACCCATTTTAGACTGTTTGAGGCTACTTTAAAGCTCACATATGGGCCAAATGTTGACATGAAAATTAAACTAATTCATAGCTGTAGCTTCTTCCGTATTACCTTTTGTTGTGCAGCACATTAAACTGGAAATTCACCTGGAATTTCAGAACCAAATTTCTTACATTCGAGTGGGAAGTAACTGTTAAAAAATATATTCAAAGAGTTTTACAGTTTCCTCGACATTAAGTCAGCAGACTTGTAATTTGTTTGTACACCAATGACAAGTGGCCCGAAAAACAAGGCAACACAAAAAGAACTTTTGTTATTTTAGCTGATGGATTGTTACTCCCCACCCCTCCAGTCCACATTGAGTGTTACTGTAATGGTCCCACAGTCGATATTCAGTCATTAATAACCCGGGGTGAAGCTAAGACACGGTGCACGCTGTGCGTGTGATCGCACTACAGCGCCCCACCTAGTTCTGCTCTTTTGCTGAATGTAAAAACACAGGCTGGGCTTTCCAGCACACTACAGCTGAGTTGTTTTTTTTTTTTTTTTCAATGCACCCACAATGATTTAATTTCCGTGGACAAAAATGTTGGAAAATAAAAAAAGCTGCTCATTGTCACCTGGCTGTGGACCGGTAACACTAAACCCGACATAAGGGCTGTGTGCGTAGCTTTATCAGTGGGTCGCTGTAGGGACGGTAGGGGTCAGAAAAAAGTCAGAAAAATAAAATAAAATAAAAATAAAGACAGCAGCAGTGAGCATGCATAGAACTACCAATGTTGAAATGTGCCCTGTCGCCGTTACAAAAGCCTTCTGTCCCGCACAAGCTGATTTTGGCAGAGTTTTGCACACTTTTTTTTGGGAAAGTACTTGGAAGACAAACAACAATCCATGTGTCACGTTAACCAGGTGGGATCCTTACCAATTTCTCATCAACCGTAATAAGTTGCGTGTCTTGTCCCGATTTCTCTGCCAGCCTCCATGCTGACGTACTTATAGACCTGGAAAAAAAAAAAACAGCAGAAAAAAAACATCACATGAGCGCCACTCTCTGAGGTGCACAATAAACAAGCAAACGACACAAACCAGAAACAATCTGCGAGCACTGACAGTCTTGGAGGAGGTGGAGGGGTGAGAATTCAGTGAAAAGGAAACGACGGGGACGGAGTCCCCCCCGCCACCTATTAGTTCTGTCTGGTGAATCCCTGGCAGACTCTTGCTCTCATCCTAATGACGGGACGTGCTTCGTGTTGGCTGTGGTCAACTGTCAGGCGAGGACTGAGAAGCTCTTTGTGAAAGCACAGCCGCGGCCTGTCAGAGCGGCCAAGTGCCGTCTGCGCTTATCAAGGGAAGGGCACATTTCCCATAATACGGGGATAATCTAAATACTATCTGTTTTCAGATAAGTGAGGGAATTCCACAAAAGTCAAAGGTTGCAGACTGCGGTGAGGTGGAAAGAAAATAAATAAATCAAGTAGATTAAACTGACCAACATGATTCAGTGGATTGTTCAAGCTAAATATTTAACATGCATGTAAATGAATTAAAAATGTTCCCTCACATGTGCACAGCATCAATCAGCTCATGTCTGTATACAGGACCTATCCTGTGTTGAAGCGAGGGGTTCAGGATGTATCCAGTGCTTGCTTTAATCATCAAGTAAACGCATCATTAGCACGAGGACCCAGCCACACACACACACAGGGATTTCACAACAAAACACACCGCTCACCTGTCCTCTGAAACACACACTAAACAACCATGCCGTCTCATACGGAGGCTCCGAAACTGGCAGAAACAACTCAGAGTCGTGATTGAGTGATTTATTCCATCTGTTTGACAGCATGCAGCTCGCTCAGGTTCCATGTATGTGGCTGACCTTCACGGTCCAGTTGGATGTAATAAACCAGCCTAATTCTCCTGTTTTGGTCTAACAATTCCTGTGGAATGCAGTGATGCTTCCACTTGTTATTCTAGTTTACACAAGGGGTCTCCTGGTTAGTAGTGGCGGGCAGAGCACACAGTACCACATCTTAACAATGGTAATAAAAGTGGAGTAATCAAACTGCTCCGATAGGTGGATATATATTCAAAGTCACATATGTGCAAAAGGGTAACTGTTTTTTTAATCATTAAGAGTAAGCAGTGTATTGTTGCATTCCAGCTTACTTGTACTTAAAAAGTAATTTTGTTTGCTCATAAAATGATGATAGAAAAATTAGAGTAAAGCTAAATGAGAACAATAAACCAAGTTCACAATAAATCATACATGAAGTCAACTCCAATTGCTCCATTTTGTTGTGTTTCATAACAACCGTACAATTAAGTGTTTAGTAGAAAACTACAATTTCTCTTTAAAGCTTATTTTGTGACTAATCAGACTGTACTTTTCAAGTTGAACGTTGTTAATATTTTTTACTTTTGGATGTGTACAAAAAAGATTACAGATTTCATGATTTAGTAAATCTACCAGATGCCTCAGTTTGTTGAACCACTGACTTTTCCAATGACATAAATAAAAAACTATTTCAAAATACCAGAAAAACCACAACATATCTTTAAAAAAAGAAAGAATTCAGAACCTTTTGAATATGCTTTCTATTCTGTGATGAAACATTTGTTTATTTCAAGGATAATAGGAAATTAGTCTAGCTGGATATATTTCACATTTTACTTTCCAATCACTGAGGTGGGTGAAATCATCCACAAACTTCTGTAAATTAAAAACACCTAAAAGCTTTATAAAAACCATCTAAATGCAAGCCCTCTACAAAGCTTCATTAACATTAACATAAATGATCAAATTAATCTCAATGGAGTTTAAAATGGCATTACCACTGATGCAATGCTGATGATCTCTAACTTATTAAAATATTCTATTGTGATTACAGTGATTTTTTTGTAGTTAGACATGTATTCAACATTAAAAGATAATAAGATGAGACTCAACTATGCAGGCAGCATCACACTATGGTAAAACAACACCAGCCTGGAGGAGGATGCTAAGGGACAAATTAGTTTCTTCATAAAGATTATAAGGAACAGGCTCCTGAAATGTCTTTAACTTCCAAAGTGGAAAGAGTAGCATTCCAGTTGAAAGCACTGGAACCACTCGCTGCAACGGTTTTTAAAACCACTAATCACCGCTTGACTATTACATATATCAATGAAACAAAGACAAAACCCAATTCAACCCAATCTGTTGAGCAACAGCTGCAGAGTAAAGGTCTGATCATTCAGAACAGCAGCTGTCATACCCGCACATCTTTATATTCCTTCACCTGTGAGAGTCTACACTGTGCCTAAACATTTACAGTTACTGTATGCTGCAGGTTTTAGCTAACAGGCAGAAACGACTCCCTGTAAATAGCGTGCTGTGGAGCCCCAGCCTTTTGAAATTTGTCTTTCCATTAAGCCCCTTATCAAATATAGACCCCGTCTCGCCGATTGTTAGTAATGGTATGTAGCGCGTGTTGTGCTGAACAGTGTACAACGTTTAATTGTGTTAACTCTTAAACTGATTTATAGCTCGACTTAGCATTAGCTAATTAGCTGGCTAGCCAGGTATTGTAAGGACACTGACATGATCTTATACCTTAATGAACTTAAATACTAAATAAGTTAACGGGACAAGTGTTAAGAGCATAAACTTTCATACTGGGCCCCAAAATAGTGTATACTGTTTAAAATAGCCACCACTGTTGTCTAACAATGTTAAGCTGTTAGTCCATTTTAGCCTTTGAAAACTCAGAAATGCGGCCTTTCATGCTTAGTCGACTCTGAATTGAATAATTTTAAACAAAGTCAACTTACAAATAAAGCAGGCAAAGATAAAAGCAATAAATAATCGTTATGAAAGTACCTGACAGGATTCAGGGAGATTTTCGAAGCCACATTGATTGCAGATAAACGTCCCAAGCCCAGGAGTGACATTGAGGACGCCATTATTGTTGTCAATAGTGTACTACGGCAACCGCTAAGGAGCAAACAGTGCGAATGACGAAGACAACAAGTAGATGGAGATCTGGTGCCAGCGAAACATTTCTCGCCCTGTTCAGTTTAGTGTGAACAGGGCGAGAGAAAGGATAGATTATTATTTTAAGGATATTAATAAATGTTAAACTCCATTACACTTTAGTGTAATTTGTTTTATCCAAACAAAAATAACGATAATGGTTTATCACAGTTGTCAAAGTGAAATCATACTTTGATCAGCTTAATACTCAATAATATTTTTCAGTCACCTTATCTGAGGTTATTGTTTGTTTTGTATTGATGTTTGTTTCGAAAAGGTTATAGTACGATTACGTTAAATAAAACTGAATAAATAAATAGCGGAAGAGGCTCTGCAACCCCCCTTTTTTGTGCCAAATGTTATGACGAAATCTTCGATCTGATTACGCAAAACACACGCTGTGTGACGCTTATTGGCAATGGAGGTAATGGTATGTTAAATATTATCAAATGGGTTTACACGGAGCATGCAAAGTTTTTACTTCAAAGAAATAGCCAGGTTTTAATGGAACAGAAAAATACGGAGGTGGAAACTATTAACACCAAAGGAAGTATAGATGCAAATCTTTTACGAATCATTCTCTGTTTTGATAGCCTCTGGTTTCTTTAGTAAATCAGATAAGAATTTAAATTCTAAATAAAAAAACATCAAAATTTAAATCTTTGTAATGTGGAACTGAATAACTTTCGTTAGAAAGGGAATTGGTCCACACAATTAAAAAAGCACATGTACCTGGAATTTCACTGTGAAGTGATGTTATTCAAAAACTGTTGAACTTTATATTGGACAGTTATTTATGGTTTCTACTTCATTAATATGACTTTTTGTCTACTGGCTCTGGGCTGTGTTTAAATGCAGATTTTTCAAGAAGAATGCAAGAGTCACGGAAAATTTAAGGAAAAAACTTTTATTGTTTCACTCTTCATATCTGTACAAATACCATCAAACTTTGTATGTACATATGACATTTACATAAAAATACAAAACTATATATTCATAACAGAATTTCGTTCTTTTTCTTGTGATGTTTGAAAATAAAAATGCATTCAGAAAAAAAAAACTAAAAGGAGAAAGGTTTAGTCTGATATAGGGTAGACCACTGCAGTACATTTATCCTGTTACAGCTCTGTCAGAGCAATGTGGAGCATATTGGCAAGAAGACAGTTCACAAATGTTAATGGCACATTATTTCCAAAATTATCAAGTATTGTCCAAAACTTACCTCTTAAATGTAGTGAGACAAGATAAATGCTATGGTATCATATCTAAATGTGTTGCTTCAAGTTGGAAACAAACCTAAAGGGCAAAAAAAAAAGAACAACAACAAAAAAGAAACAAGAACAAAGAAAAAGTTCAAATGAGAAAAGAAAATCAAATGGCTCTCTTTTTCTTTTCCATTTCATCACTGCTGTGGTGCACATTTTACAATGCTCATTTGCAATAAACCATTGAGAGAATCCCTTTGGTCAGTTATTACAGTTGTAAACAAACCAGAAACACGTCTGTACATAAAATGATTGATACATACCCAATAAATAAACACACAGTCTAAACATGCATTTACGTATGTGTGACATAAACATCTGTAATAGAGATTTGACAGAAAAAAAAGCAGAATTTTACAGCTCGGGGAATGCAATTTACAGCTTGTAGAGGACTATACTTACATGGTATGACAAATAAATAACACTGTTTTTCTTTGGACAAATATAATTCTTCATGATTAAAAAAAGAAATAAAAGGGACAAAAAAAGGGGAAATGAGTGGTAACACAATGTCTCATGGTAGATGATAGCCTGACAATGTAGATGTATAAATTATAAAACACAAAAAGTATAAATAAACATCTAACAGACTGGACTATATGTATACTTCCTTTTTCTTTAAAAAATAAATAAGCATACACATAATGTACAGTATGGACATGATTCCTTGCCCTAGAACTCATCCCCCTAGTGATGGGAGCCTATCCATCCAGTACAGAAGATAAATGGACATAGGCCATGTAGTCTGATTCTTCATCTTCCTCATCCTCCTCGTGGTCTTCTGAAATGGCTATATGGGAGAATATATGGTAGCTGTTGTATGAATATGGACCACAACAGCGCAGAATATCATTGAATACAAAACAAAGCTCACAATATAGCGACTCGCACACAGCCTTAATTCAGTTTCTTTTTCTTTCTTTTTTCTTTTTGTGAATGTGACTATGTCTGCGTGTGCATGCATCTATGAGGAAGAGTCTGTGTGACTTGGCAGCAACAATTACTGTGGCATGTTCAATTATACAACATCCATTTACATAATCTGGCAAGTCAGCACGGCAGCATGAGAAAAAAGAGGGATGATGGAAAGTGGGGGTGAATGGGAGGTTTGGAGGGGTTATAAGGTAGGTTATGGGAGCAGGGAGGCGGGTTTAGGGGCACTGGAGCGGATGTTTCCAGTGGCTCAGGTCTCTTTTGGGCAGATTCCTGAAAGCAGACACACATAACACAGAAAAAGTGCTGTTGTGTTCTTGGATTTGCTAGTTGCTGTTGTCTGATTATAGTTTTAACTTCTGGCTCAAACGTTCAGGGATGGAGGACTCTGTGTCACAGCCTGGCCTTGGCAAGCAGGTCAGACCTTATCAACACTGTTCTGAGGTATTTTCTGTTCCTTTTTACAGAGATTTACATAGGAAACAAACAAAAAAAAAACACCACACAAACAAGCAAAGGGTGACAATACAAAGAAAAAAAAACACACACACACAAGTGGTCCCTCATTTATCCAATTGGATTTGCAATTTCTGATAGAAATTCTGGTTGTCAACACAGTCACTGAGAAAACACGTAAAATAGTGTGAATATACAAGCTGTAGCTGATCCTGCACACTGTCAACGATCACATTTCTGTTTAACTCATGAGGTGATCATAAAGTTGGTCACCATTCCACTGAATATTTTAGAGACAGCTTATTAAGTCAATCAGAGGGAGGAGACTCACAAAGAAACACTCTTCGGAGTTGGAATCTGGAATGTAAATTTGATACTTCTTTGTTCAATTTGGTGGTTTCTGGGCACACAAATGGTCTACAGAAAGCTTCTCTGTCATTTGAGCATCAACACTGACATCAATTGTCGTTATTATCAGCATGGTACCAATGTTACAATCACCTTATGCTCCTTTCGATTGGATATTTGAATCCCCCCCCTGTTTCAGGGGTGCGATGAATGTCACAATAGGCAGTACATTTTTAATTGACTGATTAAAACCAAAACCAACAAAAAGAGCACTGTGCGTATCTACTATAATGTTACCGATGCATTAGCACTGTGAGTGTGGGATTTATAAACTGTAAAAATATTAATATGGTAGCAGTACTGCATGAGTTAAGGCAACCTGCTTCTGCAAGTTACTAGCGTGATCATAGATGCGATTACATTAAAATATCAGGATTGTTCTGCTCCAAGTTAAGTCTCCGCCATTATTTGAGTTAGTTAAAGTTTTCCCAGGCTCTTGGAGACCAATGATGTCTTTCATTCACCTCTTTTGTTAACTCCCCCCCTTAGGGGAAATTGAAAAAAAAAACTAAACAAAAACAAAAGCCAGCAACAAAGACAATCTCATGCGAGTTGTTTCATTCCCAAGTCCCTTCTGCTTGCTTAAGCTGTGCTGGGTGGTGTGGCTGGATGGGGAATCTTTGGGAAAGTTGGGGTTGGGAGGACTTTGAAGGGGGTAGTTGTTTTTTTTGTTAGGAAAGCAGCATGGAATATTGTCTCTTGCTTTAAAAGGGATGGGTGTTGTTTTTTGTTTCTTTTGTTTAATATTTTTTTGCTTTTGCTGTTTACTTACAGTTGCAAGATCCTGAGTGCTTGACTTCCAGCAACACCCCCATAGAACAAGCAGCTTGCTTCATGGCACATTCACTTGGGTATGTGGTGTTGTCGCTGGCACACACGGCCTCGTCCGTCCGGCTCTCGGGACAGGTCTCGTCGCAGTAGGAGCAGCGGCCCCGGCCCATGCGGGCGTCCCACAGACACTTCTTCTTGGGGCTGCACTGGATGTCCTCACATGACTTGGCCTCTGGATGGAGAGAAGAGGAAATCAACAAAGGGTGATAAGATTCGTTGTCTTGGATGACTTTCAGTCAGGATCAGATGACTGCTTATGCTTTTTAGTTGGGGTGTGGGGGGGTTTAAATCTGGATCCAGTCTCATATGGGAAGGTGATATGGTTAAAATAGAGGGATTTGGTCTGATGAGCATTTTTTAGACACATGGAAATCTAACTGGATAGGAAGCCATTTGGCTAAAAACCCCAGCCATGTCTTCATGGCCCCCAGCACTCCCCTGTTTTGCTCTCTTCCTTCCTCCCCCTCTCCTTCCTTCTCTCCCATTAGCGATCGTGCTGCCAACATCAGGAAATAATAAGATGTCTATCATTTCTTGAGAAAACACAAGCAACTACCAAACACCCACTCCTTTTTAGACCCCCCCCCCCCCCCCCCCCCCCCCCCCCCCCCCCCTCCTCAAAGCTGGAATGCTGTCAACAACGAACAGTGAATTACTGCAGAGCTGGCCAGGAAGAAAACGCTCTCAAATCATATTCAGAATCGGTGACTGCAGGCGCTGACAGGGAGCTAAGTCTCACGCTTTCCCGGCATAGTTGCAGACTTACTGATGCATTTCCCCTCATAAGCCATTCCGATGGAGCGGCCCAGCAGACAGGTAGCCCTTCTCAGGTGGCACGCGCTGGCGTAGATGATCCCGTCGTTTCCACACAGGTATTGCTCTGGCGTCGCCTCGGGGCAAATCCGATTACACGTCACACAATATGCGTTATTGGTCTGGTCCACCACGCATGTGGAGCTGCCCGGGCACATGACATCACGGCACGTTTCTGGCCACACAAAAGTCAGCGAGGCAATATGAGATCAAAACATGTCATACGGCCCAAAAAAGAAAAAGGCGCTTCTCCATCCACTGACACAGAGTCTCTTAAGCAGGAGTTTAGAATGATTTTAACTTACTTTTGCATTTTCCTTGGTACTGCACGTCCAGGTCGGGGTGGCTTCTGCATTTGGCCTTCAGCAGCGCGCATTCGTCTTTGTAGGTCTTCCCATCTGAGCCGCAGACCGGTCCTTTCCACGTGATGTTGGAGCAGTTCGGTGCGCAAACGCAGCGCGGCTTACTTCTCCTGTTCATCTTGCACCTCTTTCCGGGTCCACAGTCAACGTTATCGCAGTTTTCTGAAAGAAAACGTTTGTGTTATGCGCGTCTAAGAGGATTTTGCTCTTGCGTCAAATAATCCTGCAGCAGACTAAATGGATCATTCAAGCACTTTGGCATGCGTCATTCGGTGCGATTTCTGCGTCTTGTGGGGAAAAAAAAGGAAGGAAAAGGAGTGCACCTCCACCTTTGCAAGGTATGCAATTGGGAGCCCCGCCATTGAAGATCATCCATCTGAAGAGCGTGCTGTTGGGGACGTCCTCCTCGGTCCAGGACGTCCCCACTCTCCCACTCCGGCAGCACTCTTCCCTGCTCATCCCGGGCATGTAGAGCACCTGGCACCTCCCGTTCTTCCCCTGCTGCAACCAGCAGTTCCCCGCTGTAAACAACAGAGAAAGGTCGAATATTGCATATTGAGCGTCTGAATCCGCTGACCCAGACGCGCAGACACACAAACAGACCGTATTAACCGCGCCGCTCCCCCCCCCCCCTCCCCTTTCGCCCTCCCGGCGATATTTTGTCTGATTTTTTT